TAGCTGTATAAAATAGGATATGTTTTCCCCATTACAGAGCGAGTGTGCGCATATGAAGTGGCTATGTTGAGCGTAAAGATGATAATTTGAAACAGGACCTATATGCTAGATTTTGAGTTATTTGGCAACTTTAGTTGTGAATGATACAAACCTTAGAATGTCTTAGAAATCTAAACATATATGGGCTGCATGGTGCGACTATATTGATGATTTAAGAAAGTAGCAAAAAAAAGCTTGTGCTCTGTTCCTTGCCTCAGACTGCACAGCTGTTCTCTCATATTTTCACCCATCAGACTATTCTCAATTTAATCTTGTCTTTACTAATATGTCAAATTAGTTTAGATTTAGAACGGCCCATTATCACATGGGCAGGGGAAAAAATACATATAATCTGTATGCACTCAAATAGAGATGGAGGCCGCACGTTTTCCCGCCGGTCCGTTTTGTAGTCTACATCAGTTTTATAGCTGAGCATGTGTTTAATATGAGCAGTTGAGAAATAAATATAAAACACTTATTTCACTGCATGCATCAACCACTGTTTGAGGACCATGCTCTCGCTGCCCGACAGGTGATATTCCACCTGAACTCTGTATGCCATGGGCTCTCAAACCTTGTTCCTGCAGGTGAAATCTGTTCGGGAACATCAGTAGTAACATGTATTCGCAACAAAACATTTTTCACTAAACAGTTGACAGCCCGTCTGCACGCTCAAAAAAGGAATAAAGGAGCGAGAGGAGGAGATGGAAACGCATGGTGGTGAGATATTCTGTATAGCTAAAGTTAATGTGTCACTCAATTAATTATGAATGTATAAACAATTCCCTGTTACTAGGCTATTCAAAATAAAATACAAATTCACTAATTGTAGGCTAACTGTAAGCTGCCCTGCAAAAACAATGAACCATCAGCATCGCCTAGGGCTATGCATTCTCAACGAGACTCATGGATAGACATTTTGGAGTGTAGCATAAGGTAACTGGTCCATCCAGTATACCTAATAATACAGTCCACACTCAAAGGTGATTATTCGAATTTTGGAGTATAGGCTAGACCAATTATGCACCAAAGACATCTTAAAACAGTTTTGTTTCATGTTTTTCTGCCATGCATAATATGCGGTAGGCTATGTATTGTATAATGGCACAATGAAAAGCTCTCTAATATGCATATGAGTGTTTTGAATTAATCATCACCATAGAAAGGCTGTCCGTTTCGTTGTGTTAGGCTTTGAAACCACATCCACAACAACCATGTTTTACACTGTTTCAACCTGATCATCACAGTGAGGTGAGTTTTAAAAGTATGATAGGCCTACTGTTTTGATGATAAGTGTTTGATGTGATTTTCGATTGATTTGCATTGATGTCAGAGTGGTTAGAGGGACAATAGAGCCCTGAGTACCAGGCCATTAGGACCTGATGGTAGTTACCAAGTTGGGTACTACCAAGCATGTCCAGAGTGCATAAAAGGAGATTACCATGACTCAACAGTCACGTGGAATTTTACTGTGGTCAAAGACTCATGACTGCGGGTGTGGCGATAGTAAGGTCACAGCAACAACCCTAGTAATGGGGAATTTTAAGATTAATAAAGATCATATTCAGTTAAGTGCAATTAACACAATGCTTAGCATATGTACATGTTTTCACTTTATGTAATACACATGATTTAAAGTGTTCTATTTGTGACACTCATTTGTGTCAGGGGTTGATGGTCACTAGACTTGTTACTGAATGTTATGGGTTGTTCTCATATTGTTTGATAGTGATTGACGCCAGAGGTACAAGGACTGAGGACACAATGACATATGAACACTGTGATTCTGTAGCAGCTGGCAAGGTCACTGTCTTTTGTTGAGTTCATACACTGAACAAAAATATAAATGCAACATGCAACAATTTCAAATACTTTAGAGTTACAGTTCATATAAGGAAATCAGTTAATTGAAATAAATAAATTAGGCCCTAATCTATGGATTTCACATGATTGGGAATACAGATATGCATCTTTTTTTTTTTTATGTAGGGGTGTGGATCAGAAAACCAGTCAGTATCTGGTGTGACCATCATTTGCCTCATGCAGAGCGACACATCTCCTTCGCATAGAGTTGATCAGGCTGTTGATTATGGCCTGTGGAATGTTGTCCCACTCCTCTTCAATGGCTGTGCGAAGTTGCTGGATATTGGAGGGAACTGGAATATGCTGTCGTACACGTCGATCCAGAACATGCCATGTCTGGTGAGTATGCATGCCATAGAAGAATTGGGACATTTTCAGCCTCCAGGAATTGTGTACAGATCCTTGCAACATGGGGCCGTCCATTATCATGCTGAAACATGAGGTGATGGCGGCAGATGAATGGCACGACAATGGGCCTCAGGATCTCATCACGGTATCCCTGTGCATTAAAATTGCCATAGATAAAATGCAATTGTGTTCGTTGTCTGTAGCTTATGCCTGCCCATACCACAACCCCATCGCCACCATGGGGCAATCTGTTCACAAAGTTGATATCAGCAAACCGCTCAGCCATACAATGCCATACAAGCTGTCTGCCATCTGCCCGGTACAGTTGAAAGCAGGATTCATCCGTGAAGAGCACACTTCTCCAGCTTGCCAGTGGCCATCGAAGGTGAGCATTTGCCCACTGAAGTCGGTTACGGTGCCGAACTGCAGTCAGGTCAAGATGAGCTTCCCATAGACGGTTTCTGACAGTTTGAGCAGAAATTCCAGGTTTTGCAAACCCATAGTTTCATCAGCTGTCCGGGTGGATGGTCTCAGACCATACCGCAGGTGAAGAAGCTGGATGTGGAGGTCCTGGGCTGACGTGGGTACACATGGTCTGCGGTTGTGAGGTGTCTTATGTTAGAGAAATGAAGATTATATTCTCTGGCAAAAGCTGTGGTGGACCTTCCTGCAGTCAGCATGCCAATTGCACGCTCCCTCAAAACTTAAGACATGTGTGGCATTGTGTTGTGTGACAAAACTGCACATTTTAGAGTGACCTTTTATTGTCCCCAGCACAAGGTGCACCTGTGTAATGATCATGCTTTTTAATCAGCTTCTTGATATACCACACCTGTATGGTAGATGGATTATTTTGGCAAAGGAGAAATTCTCACTAACAGGGATATAAACAAAACAAAAATCCTTTACAGTATGTAAGTATGCAAATTGGAGAGCGATAGAGAGTGAACGAGATAGTGAGAGGTAGAGAGAGTCAATCACAGGGACATCAGAGAGTGAGAGAGGTAGAGAGAGTCAAGGACAGGGACATCAGATAGTGAGAGTGAGAGAGGTAGAGAGAGTCAAGGACAGGGACATCAGATAGAAAGAGGGTCAGGGAAAGACAGACACTGACGGTCTGCTCTGGAGACGACCTGAGTGAACGCAGATCTATAGGAGGTGAGAGGAGGATACACACACACACACACATACACAGACACACACACACACACACACACACACACACACACACACACACACACACACACACACACACACACACACACACAAGCAGACTATGTATGGATTTTCACTGACCCTCTCTCTATATTACATTTTACATTTTAGTCATTTAGCAGACATCTTTCTATATCTTTCTATATCGCTCTGTCTCGATCTCTAGCTCTCTCATACACACACACACACACACACACACCTCTCAGCACAGCACAAATATGTCAGCTCATTATAATGCGCACACACACACACAAACACACACGAACACACACACACACACACACACACACACACACACACACACACACTAACCATAGCACACACACACACACACACACACACAAACACACACTAACCATAGCACACACACACAAACACACACACACACACACACACACACACACACACACGCACACACACACACACACACACACACAGACTAACAAACTTACAGAGAGAGTGATGGAGAGATAGAGAAAGAGTGAAAGGATTGATTGGTAAAAAATGATAATGTTAGTGTTGGTGATGCACACACACACATACACACACAGACAAACCACGTAGAATGAAATAACTAAGGTCAAATGATTGCATGGTGCATAACTCCACTCTACTTTATAACAGAGAGGTATAGATCAGACTGGGCAGTTCTTGGTTTTATGGCGAAAATATAAGAAAGACATTTGTGGAGAACTAACATGCACTAATGTCTTATAATGGGCATACACTGTTGGCTAAGCTTTTGGATTGATTTTGATAGGATTTGCTGGTCGTCTGGCAATTTTCAAGATCAGAGTGAAATCCTCAGGCTGCAGGCCTAGATTGAGACATCTTTCATCATTGCACAGTGTGAGAGGCTCAACGACCTCCGATTCATTGGCCCTGCATTCTCCTGACCCCTCAAAGACATTACGGTAACTACAGAGCAATAACCCATGTAATTACTGTATTAACTCTTCCGAGTCGGCGAACGCTTCGGCGCGTTCAAATCGCGGGCCGGCTTTAGGACCGCGCAGCATCCAAACCAAGTGACGCAGAGGGCTGCCGTCGATTTCATGCAGAAATGGAGACCCGAAGCTACGTTTGAGTGTTTGTTTCATGTAAATACACCAACTAAAACCAAAGTTATGATAATTTCAATTCCATGAAAAAAGTGCGTCAAAATATGCGCTCTTTTATGAGCGCTTTGCATTTATTATAATAACTTTGTCGTCTTTTGTGATAAAAAGGAACGGAAAAAAAACGTGTGCTTGTGCTAACCCGGTTCTTCAGGATGCACACGAGTATATAAACATTCATTCCCATGACAACTAGCCATTGCGAAAGAACGAACGAGAGGAATTAGTTCAGTTCATGAGTAGTTTTGGAGAGTTTTTCACGAGTTAGTATTTCAATTGTTAGTATTTCAAGAGTTTTATTGTCAGCAGTATCGTTTTTGTGAAGCAATATGAGGCGCACACTTCACGTTGAACAAGCCGTCGACTTGTTATTCCAAATGAGCGATGAAGAAACTTTGGAAAGTTCGTCGTCAGACAATGAGAGTGGCCAGGATGACTTCGAGGACCCTGATTTTGTTGCTGAAAAACGTGAGGTAAGAAGACAAACATTTTTCTAAAATGAATTTGTTTTATTGCTTTCGTTTATCTTACTATAGTATTCTATTCTACTTCACTGTAGTGCAAATGCCAATGAACATCTTGAACTTTGAATAATCTTGAATCCGTTTACCTGTTTTGTATAGTGACGACGACGACGACGAGCAGCCTGGGCCATCAACAGCCCCCACCCCCACAACAAGCCGACGGAGGCCATCACAGAGGGGGCGTGGAAGGAAGGATCAGGCCAAGACCAGGTCAAGATCTCCAGCCCAGTCAGCAGCACAGCCAGAACAGAGCTCTGAGCCATGGAAAACAGAGACTGATCCTGACACTGCCCCACAAGCCAGTAGGTTCATGCCCCGCAGACCACCAGGAGCCCAGGTGGATTTGCATTCAGGGCACACACCAAAGGACCTCTTCCTGCTCTACTTCGCCGCAGATACAATGAGGACAATCTGCAGAAACACCAACAAACAGGCAGCAAGAAATCAGCAGAAGGGGAGCAAATATCAGTGGACTGACGTTGATGTGGAGGAACTGCACAGATTTCTGGGTCTCCTCATCTACACCTCATTGGTGACTCTGCCTAGTATCCAGGACTACTGGAAACAAAGCCACATATTGTCTGTTTCATTGCCAGCGAAGGTCATGCCAAGAGACAGATTCCGGTCCATCTCATGGAACATCCACCTAAGTGATCCAGAGGAGGATGTCATAAATGACCAGCGCAAAGGTACACCCCAGCATGACAAACTGTTCAGGGTCAAACCTCTGATGGACGACATTCGCACTGCCTGCCAGGCTCATTACCATCCTAAGAAGGAACTGTCAGTCGACGAGAGGATGGTGGCTACAAAAGCCAAAACTGGCATGACCCAGTACATGAAGGACAAGCCTAACAAATGGGGGATCAAGCTCTTTGTGTTGGCAGAGTCTAACAATGGCTACACTCTAAACTTCAACGTGTATGTTGGGAAAGCACACACACCCAGCGTGCATGGACTTTCATATGATGCTGTTATGGACCTCATTCAGCCATCACATCTTGGTACAGGATACCATATTTATATGGACAATTTCTACACCAGCCCAAAACTGTTCCTGAGTTTGGGAAGTATGAAGTTTGGAGCCTGTGGGACCTACAGAAGCAACAGAAAAGGGTGTCCTAGTGGCAGAGAAAATGCCCTCACCAGCAAATCGAAGAGGGGGTCTGTGAGATGGATCAGAGAGGATCGCCTGGTCTTTGTGAAGTGGATGGATACGCGGGAGGTGTCGGTGTGCTCCACAATCCACCCAGCGTTTTCGGGCGAGACAATCAAGAGGAAGGTGAAGGAAGGACCTGGACGCTGGGTAGCAAAAGACATTCCCTGCCCTACCCCCATCATGGCCTACAATAAGTACCTGTCAGACCAGCTTCTCCAGTATTACTCAACCCATCGCAGAACTGCTCGCTGGTACCGTACCCTCTTCCTGCATTTTTTGGACATGGGAACAACAAATGCATACATCCTGCACTGTGACATCAGTGCGACCCAACAGGTCACACCCATGACGCACAAGAACTTTGTGGCAGAACTTGTGGCCCAGCTGTGCGGAGTGACCCAGACAGGGGTTCCACTTCAAAAAAGCACCAGCCATGTTCCTGTGGCCATTGCCAATGTTGCAGAGGCCAAAGACAAAGCCACAGCAGGCCGCAGGGTTTGTCAACGCTGTAAACAAGTTGACAAGAAGAGGTTTGTCACACCATGGAAGTGCAAGGCCTGTGATGTGGCTCTCTGTGTCATTGTGGACAGGAACTGTTTTGAAGAGTGGCACAAATAGGGTAAAGGCCAGTGGCTATACCTACTTTTTTTGTAAATAGTTGTGTATTGCTTGTATATATCTCAAGAATACTTTTATATGTTCATATTTGCACTTTGTGGTTCAATTTGAAGCTTTTTTTTTCATTTTGGACAGAAACTGTTTTGAGGAGTGGCACAAAAAGGTTTAGGGTTAGAATAGAAGAAAAACGCCAGTGGTTATACCTACTTTTTATTGTAAATAGTTATTTATTGCTTGTATATATCACCAAAATACTTTTATATGTTCATATTTGCACCTTGTGGTTCAATTTGAAGCTTTTTAAATGCTTGGTTCACCATGTTTGAGGGTTTTACAATAAAAAAACCATCTTTTTTCTAAACGGACTTTGTGTTTTCTGTGTGTGTTTGGGTCCAGTGTGTTGAAATAGTATGTCAAAGTGAAAAACTTACTAACAGATCATATAGGTGAGGTTGTGCTGAAAAAAAAGATACCCAACATTGGTCTGGTAAACATTTCTTTATGTAGTATATCAGGGCAAAATTGAAGGTACCCAAAAACGGCCAAAAAAGCTCCAGACTCCGAAGAGTTAAAAGATAGTACACATGCAGCAATGGAGAACTGCTACAGCTGCCATCCTCCCAACACACAAACCCCCTCATTTCTTTCATTTATTGACGTTTCCATGTTTCTGGTGGAAACTATGCTTTCAGCATGTGCGGAATTTCCACTAGGGAAATTGGAAAATACCGTAATAGAGGTTCCATGAGTCATATTAGATCATTCCTCATCATCTCTCTTCATCTCTTTCTTTGACTTGGTCTATAGTGAAAGTATGAGAGGTGAGAGAAGGGAGGGAGGGAAGAAAACTTAAACGGGTCGCTATGGCAACGACTGTCAGGTAACCTTGCCTCCTAATCAGACTGCTGACTAAATGAAACGAAATGGGAAAAATTAGACAGTAGAAAGTGAGGGATAAACTGAGGTTCAGGAGAGGTGTGAGAGGGAGAGAATTAGACAGACAGAGTGAGCAAAAGAGTGAAGGCGAGATCAATTGATAGAGTAATTATCTCCTATCCTCCGCTGCATAGTTTTGTTTTTTAGGTGTGGTCTTTATGGAACAAAGGCAATTAACCCTCCATCCACAAGATGATGTTTTATAATCAGTCCCAATAGGAAGACAGGGAGATATTAATAGAACTCATCTGGTGGAAAACATGTTCAGTCATGGTCCCTATCTTAAAGGATCTACATGAAGCTTCATGTCCACATCCTGGTTCAACCCTAATCCTAGCCTCAACCATAACCCTAACCTCACCCTAACCCTAGCTTCATGTCCATATCCTGGTTCAGCCCTGATCCTCAACCATAACCCTAACCTAACCCTAACCCTAGCTTCATGTCCACATCCTGGTTAAACCCTAACCCTAGCCTCAACCACAACCCTAACCCTAGTTTCATGACCACATCCTGGTTCAACCATAACCCTAGCCTCAACAACAACCCTAGTTTCCTTTCCTCATCCTGCATCAACCCTAACCCAAGTTTCATGTCCACATCCTGGTTCAGCCCTAACCCTAGCCTCAACCACAACCCTAACCCTAGTGTCATGTCCACATCCTGGTTCAACCCTAACCCTCAACCACAACCCTGACCCTAGTGTCATGTCCACATCCTGGTTCAACCCTAACCCTAGCCTCAACCACAACCCTAACCCTAGTTTCTATCCACATCCTGGTTCAACCCTAACCCTAACCCCAACTACAACCACAACCCTAACCCTAGCTTCATGTCCACATCCCGGTTCAACCCTTAACCACAACCCTAACCCTAGTTTCATGTCCATATCCTAGTTCAACCCTAACCCTATCCTCAACCATAACCCTAACCCTAGTTTCCTATCAACATCCTGGTTCAACTCTAACCCTAGCCCCAACCCTAACCCTAACCCTAGTTTCGTGTCCACATCCGGGTTCAACCCTAAACCTAGCCTCATCCACAACCCTAACCATTCATATACAGGATGGTAGACAACCATACCATGCATACCACAAGAATGTAAACTGAACAACATTTTTAAGGCAACATGCAATAATTTCAAAGGTTTTACTGAGTTACAGTTCATATAAGGAAATCAGTCAATTGAAATAAATTCATTAGGCCCTAATTTATGGATTTCACATGACTGGGAATAAAGCTATGCATCTGTTTTGTCACAGATACCTTAAAAAAAATGGTAGGTGCGTGGATCAGAAAACCATTCTGTATCTGGTGTGACCACCATTTGCCTCATGCAGCGCGACACATCTCCTTTGCATAGAGTTGATCAGGCTGTTGATTGTGGCCTGTGGAATGTTGTCCCACTCCTCTTCAATGGCTGTGTGAAGCTACATGCTGTCGTACACGTCAATCTAGAGCATCCCAAACATACTCAATGGGTGACACGTCTGGTGAGTATGCAGGCCATGGAAGAATTGGGACATTTTCAGCTTCCAGGTATTGTGTACAGATCCTTGTGACATGTGGGCGTGCATTATCATGCTGAAACATGAGGTGATGGCGGCAGATGAATGGCATGACAATGGGCCTCAGGATCTCATTCAAATTGCCATAGATAAAATGTAATTGTGTTCGTTTTCCATAGCTTATGCCTGCCCATACCATAACCCCACCGCCACCATGGGGCAATCTGTTCACAACGTTGACATCAGCAAACCGCTCGCTCACACGACGCCATTCACGCTGTCTGCAATGGAGAACTGCTACAGCTGCCATCCTCCCAACACACAAACCCCCTCATTTCTTTCATTTATTGACGTTTCCATGTTTCTGGTGGAAACTATGCTTTCAGCATGTGCGGAATTTCCACTAGGGAAATTGGAAAATACCGTAATAGAGGTTCCATGAGTCATATTAGATCATTCCTCATCATCTCTCTTCATCTCTTTCTTTGACTTGGTCTATAGTGAAAGTATGAGAGGTGAGAGAAGGGAGGGAGGGAAGAAAACTTAAACGGGTCGCTATGGCAACGACTGTCAGGTAACCTTGCCTCCTAATCAGACTGCTGACTAAATGAAACGAAATGGGAAAAATTAGACAGTAGAAAGTGAGGGATAAACTGAGGTTCAGGAGAGGTGTGAGAGGGAGAGAATTAGACAGACAGAGTGAGCAAAAGAGTGAAGGCGAGATCAATTGATAGAGTAATTATCTCCTATCCTCCGCTGCACAGTTTTGTTTTTTAGGTGTGGTCTTTATGGAACAAAGGCAATTAACCCTCCATCCACAAGATGATGTTTTATAATCAGTCCCAATAGGAAGACAGGGAGATATTAATAGAACTCATCTGGTGGAAAACATGTTCAGTCATGGTCCCTATCTTAAAGGATCTACATGAAGCTTCATGTCCACATCCTGGTTCAACCCTAATCCTAGTCTCAACCACAACCCTAACCTACCCCAACCCTAGCTTCATGTCCACATCCTGGTTCAACCCTAATCCTAGCCTCAACCATAACCCTAACCTCACCCTAACCCTAGCTTCATGTCCATATCCTGGTTCAGCCCTGATCCTCAACCCTAACCCTAGCCTCAACCACAACCCTAATCCTAGTTTCATGACCACATCCTGGTTCAACCATAACCCTAGCCTCAACAACAACCCTAACCCTAGTTTCCTTTCCTCATCCTGCATCAACCCTAACCCAAGTTTCATGTCCACATCCTGGTTCAGCCCTAACCCTAGCCTCAACCACAACCCTAACCCTAGTGTCATGTCCACATCCTGGTTCAACCCTAACCCTCAACCACAACCCTGACCCTAGTGTCATGTCCACATCCTGGTTCAACCCTAACCCTCAACCACAACCCTGACCCTAGTGTCATGTCCACATCCTGGTTCAACCCTAACCCTAGCCTCAACCACAACCCTAACCCTAGTTTCTATCCACATCCTGGTTCAACCCTAACCCTAACCCCAACTACAACCACAACCCTAACCCTAGCTTCATGTCCACATCCCGGTTCAACCCTTAACCACAACCCTAACCCTAGTTTCATGTCCATATCCTAGTTCAACCCTAACCCTATCCTCAACCATAACCCTAACCCTAGTTTCCTATCAACATCCTGGTTCAACTCTAACCCTAGCCCCAACCCTAACCCTAACCCTAGTTTCGTGTCCACATCCGGGTTCAACCCTAAACCTAGCCTCATCCACAACCCTAACCATTCATATACAGGATGGTAGACAACCATACCATGCATACCACAAGAATGTAAACTGAACAACATTTTTAAGGCAACATGCAATAATTTCAAAGGTTTTACTGAGTTACAGTTCATATAAGGAAATCAGTCAATTGAAATAAATTCATTAGGCCCTAATTTATGGATTTCACATGACTGGGAATAAAGCTATGCATCTGTTTTGTCACAGATACCTTAAAAAAAATGGTAGGTGCGTGGATCAGAAAACCATTCTGTATCTGGTGTGACCACCATTTGCCTCATGCAGCGCGACACATCTCCTTTGCATAGAGTTGATCAGGCTGTTGATTGTGGCCTGTGGAATGTTGTCCCACTCCTCTTCAATGGCTGTGTGAAGTTACATGCTGTCGTACACGTCAATCTAGAGCATCCCAAACATACTCAATGGGTGACACGTCTGGTGAGTATGCAGGCCATGGAAGAATTGGGACATTTTCAGCTTCCAGGTATTGTGTACAGATCCTTGTGACATGTGGGCGTGCATTATCATGCTGAAACATGAGGTGATGGCGGCAGATGAATGGCATGACAATGGGCCTCAGGATCTCATTCAAATTGCCATAGATAAAATGTAATTGTGTTCGTTTTCCATAGCTTATGCTTGCCCATACCATAACCCCACCGCCACCATGGGGCAATCTGTTCACAACGTTGACATCAGCAAACCGCTCGCTCACACGACGCCATTCACACTGTCTGCCATCTGCCCGGTACAGTTGAAACCGGGATTCATCCGTGAAGAGCACACTTATCCA